CCGCCCCGGGCGCCGACCGCACGATGTTCAACTTTGACGCCTTCTACCAGGCGCACTACGGGGAGCAGCTGGAGCGGGAGCGCCGCCTGCGGGCCCGGCGGGAGGCCCTGCGCAAGCAGCAGGAGGATCGAGCCAAGAAGGGCTTGAGCTGGGACGAGATCCGAGACACGACTTTAGTCGTCCTTCTCCTCGCCGTCTTCATCGTCATAGGCATTCGTTCTTAATCGCGGGAGAAGGGGAGGGGAGCAGCCCCCCAGCCCGACCCCAGAAAACGGCCTTTCCCGTCTTGAACCCTTCGCTTTCCACAGTCTACCTCTGCTGGGGTCCGAAAATGTTTGCTCAAGCTATGCAAACAAAGGGAGCGTCTGTACGCTTCCCCGCTCGCCCAGCTTAGCCTCTGACCCGCACCTCCTCTTCCCTGTGGTCCAGGAAAAGGAGGCTTTTCGGTGCCCGAGAAGGACACCCCTATATGGACAGCCCTGAAGGCCTGAGAGTGAAGAGTTTCCTGGAGTCCCCTGGGTGCTTGCTTCCAGGGGTTGCCTTCCAGAGGTTGTCAACTTCTGGAACACTTGGCTCTGGCTTTATTGTCGAGCTCTGAGAAAAGAAATGTCTGCTCCGGCCCCGTGTTTGTGCCATGGAGCTCTGTAACCTTGAAACGTGCAATGTGGCCAATTGTTAGCGGCCAAAAGAAAAATTCTGAGGTGTGCAACCTTGTCTTTCTGTGAGTTCCCCAAGCCACAGGTGAGACCCGATACAGGCTACACATGTGATATATAGAAACCTTGCGATGGTCAGCCCCAAACCCCTCTCCCCCTTCTGCTGTTGGCATGAGGGAGTCGGGAAAAGCAAGGTCGTGGAGCATAAAGAGTGAGTGTTCCTGAGCCCATACTTATCTTATGACCTTGAAGAAAGTTACTCGGTGGACATGACGGCAGAGAGCAAACCATTTGCTCTCTTGAGGTTTGTCACACTTTTATTGTCCATAGTTGGAATGGGCTCAATGGTTAAAACATGCTAGTGGAGTCAGGTTTATCCCTGGGATAGGGGGCCTGTCGCCTGGTTATCCCTTTACCAGCTGGCCCTGTCCCTAACGGTGCAGCCAGTCCTCTCCCAGAAACGGAGCTCCTCTGAGTGTGGTCCCTCCTGTTTATCTTGAGTGCTTATTGCAGGCAGTGCAGGCCAAGTCCTGGAAACATGGTTGCTTGAGGCTGTGGGGAATTTTGGGAATGCGGAGTTGGTGAGACTGCTGAGGAGGAGGCGGCCTGTGGTGGAAACCCCTGGTTTAGAACTGCCTGAGGCTTTTTTCCGTTTCTAATTTGTGCTCAGCCCTTGGTCAGTCCTCACTTGGCTAGAGCAGTAGTAGTGAGGCTCTCTTAACCCTGAGTCACTGCACGTGGGGAGTGCATGGCTGTGCGATTGTCAGTGCTCGGAGATTGATGCACTGGGGCTGCGTGTAAAGCTGTGGGATAGGAAAACCTTTGCAAGAGATCTACCGCAAGGGCACAGGCCTAAGTCTAGAGTCTAAACAAAGCCAGAGGTGCTTTGGTATAGTAATACCAGTTCCTGCACTCACACTCTTGTGTGAAATCCTTGTATAAATTGGGATCAAACCATAGCTAGTTCACCTTGGGCTCTCCGATTCTCTCTAGCCTTAGATGTCGGGGGACAAGCCCTTAATCATGGGTTTGCAGTGACCACACACGGTTCAGTAGTAAAGATTTGAGCCCACCCTGATTCAGGCCCACTGTGTTCAGTGAGCCTTGATCTGGGGGTGGGGCATACGTACTTTGAAAAAGAACATTTAATGTTATTATGTTTCATATTTGAAAAAACGAGGGAGAGTGTTCTCTTTTTTTGGTAAAGAATTGTGAATTTATTAGGTCAATCTGGAAAACCAGGTGAGCTGAGCCCCAAAATGGCGCCAGCTGAGTGTTCTTTTTGAAATATAAACTATAATAAGTGAAGCTTAGTAAAACATGCAGAAGCTAGTGATTCCCAACCAAGGAGTTGGGGCATAACAGCGTCCTTTGGGCAAGATTCTATCAGGAGTTGGAGTTCTTTTGGGCCTAGTTTGTGAAAGCACTAGTGGTCTGTAACAGCTGGGACCTTTTGCATGAGCTCCTTGACATAGACCTTTCAAGTTTGTTTTCTTTCTGTGAAGATCACAATCAAGAACATTTCCTGGGGCCCCAGAACATGGAAGTATGTAGATAAAAAGCTGAAGGAGGTTTCAGGTGTGTGTGTGTGTGTGTGTGTGTGTGTGTGTGTGTCCAGGCAATATGAAACTTTTGGAACATTCCAGAATATATATTTCATGCAGGGTAGTCAATAAACCATCTAACTCAGTTTCTCCTTAGGCCTATAACTAGAGTGCCATTCTGCTTGCCTCAGGGATTTTTAGGCCAGGTTTGAACTCTGTAAGACCCCACTCCCTACCCTCCCTAAACTGAGTCTGAGCTTTTCATGAAAGGAGAGATGTGTGGGAGGCTTTTTGAGGGCCCCTCCAATGTTACCTTGTCCCCATAGTAACATTTCTCCCTTCCTACCTTGGGGAGAAGAGGCTGAACCAGACTGAGGACATTAGCTGCCTTCTAGGCACTGTTCCCCAATTCCTGATCATAGAGGACAGCTCAGACATGCTCAACTTTAGTCCATTTTTGACAGGAGATGGACAAGAGGGGCCCAGCTTGTCCCAGGCTATGCTTATTGGGGTGGGAATAAGGTTGCAAGTGTAGTACAAAGTTGAGTGAGCAGCACACAGTTCCTAAACAGGGAGACTCAGGACAGGATCAAAGGTGTACATGTCTAGGCAAGTGTCTTTGGACTTGATCAGGACTTTATTTCCCCTAAGCCAAACTGCTTTTCCCTCTGTTGCCCTTTATTTATTGCCGGGTGAAATCCTTTACTCATCCCAGTGCTGAGAGAGTAGGAGTACTTGCTTCCTTCTGAGGTTCTAAGCATTTGGTTCACAGGATGTACCTTACCTACTTAATGGTTCTAGCATGAGCCAAAATGTATAAGGATAGCCTGCCTAAAGCCAGTGAATTGTCCATTTAGTCATTATTAACTCCACATACATATAAAACCATATGTACAATATGTGTGTGTGTGTGTGTGTGTGTGTGTGTGTAATAGCCTGAGGCTGCGGCAGCAAGGGTGGAGCCCAAATGAGTGGCCATCACATTCCCTTTTTGGAAAATCGTGAGGGTAGGAGACTGTGTCTTGGACCTTTGGGCTACCTGGAAGGTCACCAGATCCCATGAAGAGAGGCTGAGAGAATGGACAACTGGTAAGTGGTGGTGCTACTTGAATTCACTCTCTCTTGAATTCAGTGCACGAGAAAAGTGGGCTCTCTCCTGGCCTTTGTCTCCTCTCAGTTCTCCGCCCTATGATGAGATCACACACTGCCACCCGACTATGGTCAGGATCCTAGGATAAGGCTGGCCTTGCCTGCCCTCAGGCCATGCTTGTAGCCCTGGCAGCCATAGGGGTTGAGCAGAGAACTGAGGGTCCCTCTGTGTTAAGGACCTGCGTTTGGACTACATGAACTTGCATATGCTGAGAACACTCTGCACTCATCCCCAAGAAGCCAGTGCAGAGTTCACCATGCATCATGAAGTCATAGTGTCACTATGCATGTAGCCATCATGCCACTCTCTCTTAAGGCTATCTGAACCTGAGGTCCTGACACTCTTGAGGTAGGTTGGCCCTCCCATCTTGCCTTTGCTTCTTCAGCATTCATATTTTCAGTTCTGGAGGGCACTGCTACTAGACAAAAGAAGGCCTGCTTCAGAATGACCAAGAACAGACCAAGATTCATGGTTCACACAGTGTTTGGCTATGGCTGGCACAGTGTCTTAAAATAACTTTAGCCAATATTCATAATACTAGTCTTGAGGTAGGTTGGCCCTCCCATCCTGCCTTTGCTTCTTCAGCATTCATATTTTCAGTTCTGGGGGGCACTGCTACTAGACAAAAGAAGGCCTGCTTCAGAATGACCAAGAACAGACCAAGATTCATGGTTCACACAGTGTTTGGCTATGGCTGGCACAGTGTCTTAAAATAACTTTAGCCAATATTCATAATGGGGCTTTGCATGAAAATCTAGATTTCTGACTTCCCTCAAAAAATGATGCCACAGTTGAGCTCAGATTACCACATTAGTGCCTGGGAGAAGCTGTGACATCTGCCTGTGAGATAAGATATTTCTCTACATTTCACTGCACTCCCACCATCAGAGGGAAAGTATGCAAGGCCTTGATACTTTCACCATTTTGCCCACAGTAGAAAAATATCTCTATCCCATATCAAGAGGAGAAATTTTTTAAAAGGACTGTACATTTCCAGCAAAGATGGGAGAGGGTGTATTTCTTTGTGGGAATGAACTGCTTTGCACCTCTGATTTTCCTGGCCCCCAAGGCATTTGAGTTTACAGCATAGGTAAGGGCTTACACTTTATGCGGGAGGCAGAGTGTAAATCTTATTTTCATGTGGGACAAGAAGAATCTTTGAAGAGGTCTACAGCAGTGGTAAGGTCCTAGAGCAGTGATGGCGAACCTTTGGAGCTCGGCGTGTCAGCATTTTGAAAAACACTAACATAACTCTGGTGCCGTGTCACATATAGAAATTTTTTGATATTTGCAACCATAGTAAAACAAAGACTTATATTTTTGATATTTATTTTATATATTTAAATGCCATTTATCAAAGAAAAATCAACCAAAAAAATGAGTTCGCGTGTCACCTCTGACACGCGTGTCACCTCTGACACGCGTGTCATAGGTTCGCCATCACTGTCCTCCCACTCAAGGGGCTACTATAACCCCAATTCCTACACTCAATCTTTTATGTACAATCTTTATATAAATTGGGATAAACCCACAGCTAATCCACCTTGGTCTCTTGGGAACCACTCGATTCTCTAACCTTGGAGGTGAGGGGCAAGTTCCTAGCTGTGGTTTTGCAGTGACCACATGATTCAATGGTAAAGAGTTGAGCCCACTCTGGTTCAGGCCTGCTTAGGTCAGTAAGCCTTGATTGGCAACAAAACAAAAACACATTTAATGTTATGTTCAGTATTTGGAAAACAAGGGGAGAAGCTTAAGGAAACATGCAGAAGCTAGTGATACCTAAATAAGGAGGTGCACATAACAGACTTTCTTGAGAGGTAGGAACTCTGTTTTTATCAAAAAGGGATGGGAGTTTTGTTATTTGGACAAGTTTTTGCTTTTGGTTTGTAAAAGCTCTGTTGGTCGATAATAGGTGGTTCCTTACTCCTGGGCTCCTTGATGTAGGCCCTTAAGTTTGTTCTCTCTCTCACAGAG